ACTCTATTTTTGAATAGGGGTGAGGGGTGTTGCAGTATCTTATTTTCAAGATATCATCGAGTACTATCTGATCACAAAATTTTGCATCAAAATTTGTATCGATAACAGCTAAACAGTGAAAGAGATATTATGGAAAAAGTGTCTACTTAATAAATAAAAAGAATACTTACTTCTGTGATTAGTTTATTAAATGCTGGAAATGGCCACCATTCACTTCCATGCAGTAAAATAAGTTTTGTCCAAAACGCAACATGTTGGGTGTAAGTTGACGACATTAATTAATTTTATGATTTCGCAAATCATCCAGTGACTCGGACTGGGTAGCGTAAATCTTAGATTTTATATACTCCCTTAGAAAAAACTCCAGTGGATTTAGATCAGGTGACCTGGTTGGCCACTCAATATGCCCCCTTCTTACATTCTAGCTTTGGGGAAAATTCTCATCCAAAATTTGACGAACAGGTTGTACGATCATCTTGTTGACATTAAATTTGGAAACCAGTTGCAAAACGTAAGCAGCGAAGATATTTTTTTCAGGATGACGTTCGTTAAATAAAGTCGCTGTCGCTTGTTATTTCTAATAAACAATTTAATAATTTCCACCCCTTCCCCCATGGAATATACCATTTTAATTCTACTAAAAAAATATCAATCGAATAGACACGATGGCAAGGTCTTTAAAAATTTACGATGAACTGAGGTAAATCGAGTAAATGGTGCATCCATAAAATAAAAAATAAATACTTCTTAAATACCAGTCTGATAAGAATATTTATCCTTAAGGTAAACAAAACTTATTTTACTGCATGGAAGTGAATATGACCATTTCCAGCATTTAATAAACTAATAACAGAAGTAAGTATTCTTTTTGTTTGTTATTAAGTAGACATTTTTTCCACATTTAATCCAGTAAATGAAGGAGGAAAAAAGGCAAAGTTGAACTTAATTACGCCCTATTTTCATCTTCCGGTTTCAAGTAGCTTTTGGTACCTCATTAAACATGAGACAAAGTTTGCGTGGAAAACGCGTGCGATGGCGGAGAAAATGGCCCCAAAAGACCAGAAAAATAGGTTTTCAGCCAATATCTCCTAAAATATGGCAGTTAGAGATTTTCGGGTCAGATAAAAATTGAGGTTCAGTTTCTACAAAAATGGTCCCTATGATTTTTTTCGCAACATTAATATTTTCTGCAAAAAAATCGGGTTGAAAAACCGGAAATTTTGAGACTCGTGAAAAATGCAAGTTTTGTACAAAATTTGAGCTGGGGGTGTTGGAAATCCATTATTTTTAATGTTTTGGATTGTGGAAACCAATTGTAGATGGCGCCACCACATTTAATAGATTGGGAAAATCCTCGGTGCCATAAATGAGAAACCCTGTAACCACATACTTTTAAAGGATATTTATGTTTCCGAGGGTCTTGTTTTCCTCGCAGATGAGGCCTCAAGATATACTTTTTAGGAAAACAGGCTATAAGATTAATTACAGCAGGATGGACCCCGAGTATTTGTTCTACGTTGTAACTTTTTGTGGCCCTGAGAAGGGCCAGTTTTTTTCAAATCTTAGTGTTTCTTTAAACGCTCACCTGCAATTTTAATCAAATCAGCTAGGCAGTACAGTTTTTCGTCAGTTTCCTTGATATAGGCCGGAACTATGGCCATTTTGTCCTGAACTTGTTGCTTCTTGGGACGCTCAGGGTTGTCATAAACTGGTGGAGGCCTGAAGAATCTCCGGTTACATTTTTTATGGTATCGTGCTTCGGCACTTACAAGCTCCACTGTTGAAATTCTATCCAATGGTGTCATACAGAATTCGTTCTGGATTCGATTTTTGATTTCTGTTATGATCTTTGTATGGTATTCTTCTTTTTTAATTACAACAAACTCGTCTCCTGGACGTCTTCTCATCTTTTCATGTTCTTTGGAAGCTGGCAAGCCACAGAACATACAATTGGCCCTGAAATCAAATCCATCACTCCTGCGCTCTTTTTTCTTGGGGCTGCACAATTGTTGTAATTTTTTGGTCTCGTCAGAGACAAAATTGTTGCACTGGAAGCTGCCATTTCGTTTGAGAATATAGAGTCTCCTGCAGTCTTTGTGCATTTGCAAAGACGTTTGTTTTTCCAAAAAAATATGATGTTTATCCTTCCTTTCCTTGCTAACAAGAATCAAATTTTCTAAACCCCGAGTTACGGTGACAGCATCCGCAGAAACGGGTTCCTTACAAAGGAAACACACTTCTGTACCAGAGTTGACCTCCATTTTTCTATAACAAGCAAAGCAGACCAAGATTTCACTTAGAATAGTTACTTGTAAACAAATGTTCTTGAATAAAAACAACATGAACAAATTCTCACCTTTTGCTCCAATTTTACAAGATTTGAATCTTCACTTTCTATGTTTTGGGTTGGTGATAAAAGTTATTTTAACGAAAAACGCCAATATTTGTTCAATATTCTTCACTTTTATGATTTTTCTTTCTATAATTAACAATAATATTTATCAAAATAATGACAGAAAACTAACACACTTATGCCTTCAAGCGTGGCCGCATGGTGTGTAGCAGACGACACGAGCGCCACATAGAGCGCACACACGACGAACGACGCGAGGAACGAAAGTAACAAATTATAGCGTGTACATTTAGATACACTGGTTTTTTCCCGGGGTATCAAAGCTATGACTTATATACATCGATGGAAAGGTGGGAATTCCCCCGTTACACTAGTTAAAGTGTTAAAATGTTAGAAATAAAGAGCAGGGAGAAAAAAAAAAACACCAAAAAAAGTGCGTTTTTTCCTTGAGCCCGTGTTTTCCAATTTTATTGAAAAATAAACAACTTGGTCAAAAAAAGTAATTGCACCATCGAAAAGTAGACGTTCTTAGCTTTCGAATAATGTATCATAGAGACCAATCTGATCATGTATTAATTTTTAATTGATGGCTGTTCACAAAATTTCCCCACGCTCCAAAAACAGCAAACATTTGGGATTCAATAAACAAAGATTAAATGAAAATTCCAAAAAATTAGGGTATACAAATTTCACGGATGACAAAGGACCTTATGAGGACCCATAATCAAGAAAATTTTGAGAAAATTAGTGCAATACAAAAAAAATAGGAACAAATTCCTGGCGAGGTCAAAATTGCCCGGGAACAGAAAGTTTGACCCGTGTTCCGACATGGCAAAAAGAGTCAAGCGTGACTCAAGTCACAGGGTATGATAGCAGCAGAATTCCTCTTTCACATAAACTTTGAATCATGAGAAAATATGCATTTTTAACAAAGTTATTGAATAATTTGTCCCCCCACTGATGTGTAAATACACGAACTGTGCTCTCCGGCATACAACACAGAAGCTCATTATTCAAGGCGCGCTTGGTGCCGTTTTTCTCGAAACCGGGCAAATTTTCAAGAAAAATCATAAGGGCCATTTTTGTAGAAAATTAACTGAACTTCAATTTTTATTCGAACCAAAAATCTCTAACTAGGGCGTAATTAAGTCCAACTTTATCCCTTTATTTATTGGACTAATTGTCTCTTTCACTGTTTTAGCTGTTATCGATAAAAATTTTCACGCGAAATTTTGGGGTCAGCCCTATTAAAAAATAGGGGTTCTGCTTCTCCCTGTTAGAGGGTTGAAGTTACATGGATGAAAAAACCAAACAAGTTGTTCCGTTTCGAATTAAAAATCGACGGGTTCGAGCTCTTTTTCCGATTTTTGTTTTAAAGCCGGAAAATAGGGGTGTAAAGTTTTCGTTGGCCCACCCTGTCAGGGCCGGATTTACCATTACAGCGCCCCTAGGCCCGAATAAATTTGGCGCCCTCCCATCATACACTGATAGAAGGATTTTGTTGTCTGAAATAAAATTTATTGATAGTTAACATCTCATTTTGCACCATATGAATACTTGTTAACAGCGAACTAATCATTTATTTAAAGAGAATTCTTTGATTATTTATAATATTAAATATTAAATACCTTTTCCAATTTTGTTTTTGTATTAGCACTACAGATTTCGTCCCTTAGTGTTGGACGTAGTAGTGAAACATAATTGGAAAAATTCAATAATATTTAATATTACAAGTAACCTCAATCGAATTTAGGGCCAATAAATGAAAATAATAATTCTTTGAGCCAAGTGAACAATCAGTTTTATGTAGAAATAAAAACTACAACTATATAATACATAAAATGTGAACAATACAGATATGTAAAACCTTATAAAGCCTTCCTTCTTTCGAGAAAATTTGTCTATGATGTCATCGTAGGAAATCGATTGAGTTAGTCTTCCCTCGATGGCGAGCAGGGCTAGTGATGTTAATCTGTCGTGGCTAGTTGTGGATCTCAGGTAGTTCTTCACACAACGAAGGGTGGAAAAGGATCTTTCTGCTGAACAGTTAGTGGCTGGAGCACTAAGAAACATTCTTAACGCAATGGCAGTATTAGGGTAGAAATCAACCACGACAAAATTATACAAAACCTTGCTAATTTCAGTCATACTCGTTCTGGTATTTTCGTTTCCAGTGTTTTTCAATAAAAATGCTTTTAAATGTAAACACTCGTCCACAACAACAGGCTCAAGATCTTCGGGATACGTACTCAATAGTTCTCTTGCACATTTGGTGATATCAGATGCTTCAAAACTCTTGATAGTTTCAAGAAAACCAAACCTTTTGTGAAGATCAGAATATTTACACTCACGTTTCTTAATTTCAGAGTATAGGGAGTCCAATATGCAGTTAAAAGTGTTTACACGGAAGTTCTCCGACCCTGTAAATTGATCATCACTGCTAGGACCACCATATTCACCAAACTTAGTAGGTACCTTTCTTTTGCGCCGATTATCAGCCATATACTCTTTCCTACACTTCTCTTTCGCTGATCGTTCCAGGTCATCAAAGTTGTTCCTTACTTCTTCAAGAAAACCACACAAAGAGTCGTAATAGGTAACTATTTTCCCTAGCCCTGTGGTTTCGTACTGCAGCTTTACATTTACATTATTTTTCATTTATAGTCCTGTCTTCATTTCTTGTGGAGTGCCTCTCATCACAGTCACTAGCGATTTCGTCTAAACTTTTTAAAATTTCTTCTCTGCTCTCATTAACAGCTCGGCAGGCGTTGTGACGAGCAAACCACAAAGTCTTTGAAAGGTTTTGCATCGTTAATGCACAATTTCTCGTCAAAATAATCCATCTATGTGGTGAAGCGCTAAAAAAGTTATACAGCTCCTGGAGCAATACAAAAAAAATAAAGAGCCTCCTTGCATGACTCAGCTGCACACGAGCCTACTAGGTTTAAGGAATGCGCAGAACAAGGTACATACTTCGAGGACTGAACTGTTTGATGCAAGTTTGAACTCCAGAGTAAATGCCTCACATATTCGAGGCGTTATCATATGATTGACCTCTACAATTGGAAATGTCCAAATTATATATTTTTTAAAAAGGCCCAATACTGTGTTTACAATCTCTTCTGCTTTGTGACCAACATTTAGCACAAAACAAATAAATCTCTCAATCGGCATGCCATCAATAGCAACATATCTAATTACGAAGTTAAGTTGGCCAACAAGTGAAATGTCCGGCGTGGAGTCTAATACAATGCCAAAGTATTTTGCTTCGTGAACTTCTTTCAAAATTATGTCCCTAACTTCTTCTGTCATAAGGACGATAAGTTCTTCGTAAGTAGTTTTCGAACCTTGGTCGCCGTATTAACGTAAATGTTCGGCCATAAAAGGGTCGAATTCGGCTATAAATTTCAGAAGTTCAATGAAGTTTCCACTGTCAAGTTTATTTAAGTGATCAGATCCTCGGAGAGCCAACCCTTGCACAGTTAAATACTTAACAGCTGCCACCACTCTCTTAAGTACCTCCCTCCAATAGTGAACTCCAAGTTCTAGAGCTTCGATAAGTCTAACATCAACACGACCTTTTAAAAAACTCCTAATTTTTAGTTTTTCTGAACTGTTTTTATGGTTAAAACTGTTTTCATGGTCTTTTACACGTTGATTAACATTTTTCCAGTCATTGAAACCGTTTGAAAATGCGCCTCTGTTATCCGACTCGTCAAATATCATACACGGAATGCAGGAAACGGAACCTTTTGATGGTGAATAAACCATTCACGCTCTGTTTTTTTCTCCATTTTGAAGTTTTTTCGTAAACAAACTCTTAGAAAGCGAATTTTATCTGGATACGGTCTTTTGGATTCATTAAAATCGGAGTCACTATTTGGCTTTACACTACTTTGGGTATTAATATAATCTCTTAGTTCATCACTTACATCCCATAAAGCCGGGTCGAAACTGAAAAAGTCTGCACTACCTCTAGATCGGGTTCAAAAGCAACTTCTTCGGCATTGGAACTGTTAGAAGCGTCATGGGAAATAGCCTGTACATTTTCACTGTTACCATCATTATTAAGTTGCTTCGAACATTTCGCGAAAAAAAGTTGTTATTTTAGGAACTTTTTTAATAACTTTTTAATTTTTTCTCATCTTTTTCTTCGCGCCTTTTTCTAAACTCTGCACCACTAGGTTTTGATTTAAAGCTCATTATTAAACACTCATGATTACTTTAACAATAATAAATACTTATTTCCAACAGCAAAGAAATGCCGTATGGACCACACTGTAAAAGTTGAATATTAAGATAACAGCAAATCAGCATTAGAGAACACGCGAACAAAGCACTGATTTAAAACAAAGCACTGGGGTGACTTGACTAGTGACAACGACCCACGACAAGTGGTTAACTAACTGCTGGTGAGGTCAGGTGACAGACTGAGACAAATTTGATTTCGATTTTTTTTAATGACAGTGCGTCCCTTGGTGCCGTGCGCCCCTAGGCCCGGGCCTAGTAGGCCTAGTGGTAAATCCATGCCTGCACCCTGTATGTATTAGCTTCCTTTCACCAAACTATTAAAACAATTCCACCGTACATTTTTTTTAAAACATATATTAAAAAAGTTTTAACTTATTTTTGTGCTACTATTTACAAAAACATGCATTTTATGATAATGTGAAATTATGAAATAGTGATTTCATAAACTGTTAAACTTAGTGGTTTGGCGCACTGGAGATATTTAATCCATAGGTCAGGTTCTACAACATTTCAAAATTTCGTCAAATTCTAACCGAAGGATATTTTACATTTAAAACATGTCCCCTTCTTTCTGTATAGGCGAAAATATTAAGTGTTGATAGGAATAATTAAAAAAATATTTTTTTATTTCGATCAGTTAAAATAGCAATCTACAGGGTATCCCAAAAAGTTATATATAGGAAAAAGTTTCTTAAATGGGCTTCTGTCGAATTTCCTGAATTTTTGATACGTTGTAGCTGTCGAATTTCTAAAAAATAGTGTCCATGGGCACAACTCAATCCTATGACTAGTTTTTGATATACAACTTTCAAATCGGCAATTTTTTAAAAATGAAGTGCCTCTTAAGATACTACTATGATTACAGATATTTTTCGAGAATAATACTTTACTGATATTAAAAAATATTTCCAGCATAACAAATGACGTAAACTATTATTAGTTACAAGGTGAGTCATAAATTACTGAAAATCAAATTTTAATTTTTGCTTTAGCATTTGAATATTTTATAAATAAATATCACGCTGTAATATCTTTCGCTTAATTAATCAAAATTAGGAAATATTACATTATATACAGAGTGAGTCAAAAAGTTGGTAGAACCTATATGGTGTTTTTAATAAAATTTAACATATTTAATAATAGACATTAAACAATTTTAAAATAAGTACAATTTATAAACCATATACAGTATGATTCAGAAGATATTGAAAGAGAAAAATTAAGAAGAAGTGTATTTTTCATGTCTCACCCTATATTTAAAAAGTTCGACTGTTAATTTACGTAATTTTTAAACTTGATTTTTTTTTATTTAGTAAACTACCGCATCAACCAAGTAGGTGATAAGCGGTGAAATGGGTTTACATGGTTTACAAATAATTGAGAATTTAAATGTCTTTTAAATATTTTCCAATAGTTTTTGTATCACTGTTTTCACCTATAAGAGAGCACAATGAGTTTGGTAGATTGTTTTGCTGTCTTTCATTGTTATATTTTACACATTCCAATAGCAGATGCTTTACTGCAACAACAGTGTTGCATGTTTCACAGTATGGTTTATTTTTCAGTTTTTAAGAGATACTTGTGTGTAATTTTCGTATGACCTATTCTTAGTCGCGACATTAGCACTTATGTTGAACGCGGGTATATTTTAATAGGCCATGGTTTTACTGTTTTTTTAACTTCCAGTAACTTAGATGATGAAGTTTTCTATTTAATTTGCTATGCACTTAGAACTTTGGTTTTTACCCACTTTTTCACATCTTCATGTAAAGTGTCACTCACTATTTCCTCACTTTCACTACTTATTGCTTCTTTGGCACATCTGTCAGCTTCTTCATTACCTTCGATTTCAACGTGTGAAGGGGTCCATAAAAACACCACCTCAATGTTGTCTTCTTTTAATCGAACCAACTTTTCTTTTATTAGGCAGGCTAGTTTATGGTCGGAATATACTTTTTCAATTTTTTTGAGATATCTAAGGGAGTCTGTTATTATTAAAGCTTTTCTGGGATATATTGTCTGTGTATCGGTAAGAGCTTTCAAAAGAGCAAACATTTCTCTAGTAAAAACACTAGTTAAGGCGGGGAGTTTGTATTTTAATTTGGAATGTTGAGTTTCAATGCCGTCTGTCTGATGTTTTAGATGCATCCGTGTAAACCTTGTAGTGATCAGGATATTGATCTAATTTGGACATGAAGGACTGTTTTATTAAAGTAGCTGGATAAACTATTTTCTTTAAGGATAAAAGTGAAGTGTCGATAATTGGGGCAAGTAATAGCCATGGTGGGGTTTTTAAATTACAGGTGAATATAGAGGAAAAATCAAGTTGCAAAATTTCTAGTTATTTTCTCTTTCATAACAAGGAGGGTCGCAAGTACAACTTTCTAAATGGGTGTTTTTAAAAGTAGGATGTTCTTTTTTATTTATCAACAAACTTGCATGAGTCAACGTCAAATATTCTCTTCTTCTATTTAGCGATGGTTCCCCCAGCTGCACCTATAAGCTTTCAGACGATGCTGTGCGATAAGCCCCTGATATAATTCGCAACGCAGAGTTATGAACGACGGCAAGATATTTGAGAATATATTTTTTTGTAGATGCGCAGACAATGAAGCCTAAAGTCAATTTAAGATCATATGACACTTCTGTATATAAGTAAAAGGTTTTCCTGGTCTGGTCCTCAATTTCTGCTGGATAATAGTTTAAGTAAATTGATACCTTTTTGACAAACGACTATGAGATTTTTGATGTGATCATTTCAGTTTAGTTTGGTGTCGAAAATCATACTTAAAAATTTTAGTTTTTTCCGTGGAGCCTAAGTTCTGGTAGGTCAGGATTGTTATTTTTAAAAAATATCATGTATTTTGTCTTTAAAGTTGAGAAGTAAAATCCTGTTCTGTCAGACCATTTTTCATTTAAATGTTTTTGTAATATGGGCTTCATCGTTGTGATTCTTTTGCTTTTAATGAAAATTACTAAGTTGTCAGCAAATAGACTCATTTTAACTGGCGTTTAAACATTTTCTACAAACCATTGATTGCAATAAGAAAAAGTATTGGACTGATAAAACCTTGATGTAATCCATTCTCTTGTATTTTTCTCTCCGAAAGTTTACCATTTGTTCTTACATAAAAATATCTTTTGTTTATACATTTTTTTATGAAAGACAGTATGTTGCTCTTTATGTTCCAGTTTTGTAATGTGTTTAGTATGTTGGCTCTGCAGGCTATATCAAAAGCTTTATTGATATCGAAAAATATTGCCAAGCATTTTGGTTGGTTAATATATGCCTTGCGAATATCATTTTTCAAGTATAATAGATTATCAGCGGTACTTCCCTGTTTCCTAAATCCACTTTGTTCTGGAGTAATTAAATTTCTGCGTTTTAATTCCCATAACAATCGATTGTTTACAATTTTTTCAAGGGTTTTGCACATGGTGCACATCCACGTAAGTGAAATTGGCCTATAAGAGTCTGCCGAAAGTTTGGTTTTTCCAGGTTTTAGAATGGGTATCACTGTTGCTTCTTTCCAATTGTTTTGGAATACATGGTCTTTCTATATTTTGTTAAATATTTCTACTAGATTTTTTTCTTGCCTTTTTTGGCAAATGTTGTAGGAATATGATGGGTATATTATCAGGTCCAGGGCTAAGATTCTTGAAAGAATTTCTAGCGTTATCTAGTTCTGCCTGAATTAATGGATTATTAATAGGTGCATTATTGTTGATATTTATTGGAAAATTTATAATATTTATTAGTTGTCTGTTATTTAAATAGTTTTTTCTGTAATTGACGTCGTTAAAATTGTTTTTATAGTTTTTAGATAATGTTTCAACTATTTCTGATATTACTTTTCCATCTTTCCCGAGATACCTTATTTTTTGAAAGGAATTTCCTTCTGATATTTGTTTAACTTTTTTCCAAGCACTTGTCATATTTGTTGATACATTTATGCTTTGCACAATCTTTTTCCAGGATTCTGTCTTACTATTTTTAATTACAAAGCTGGCTTTAGCTCTTAATTCTTTAAACTTGTTAAGATTTTCTAATTTTGTATGTTTTTTGTATCTGCTAAAAGCAGCTTCACCAGCTTTGATAGCCCCTTCATTCCACTATGGTACAGGATTTCGTTTTCCTATCATAGATTTCTTTCCAATAGCCTCTTCTGCTGTGGAGTTTATAATGTTTGTAAATTGTTTGACTATTTCATCAATTGTCCCTGATGTCTTAAAGTTGGTTATTGTTATGGAATTTCAATTAAGGATAAGAAGTTAGTCCAATTTACATTGTCGAGTTTCCATCTGTGCAGTGGTGTTGTATTTTGAGAAAATTCACGGGTTTCCTATATTACAATAGGAAAATGATCACTATCATATAGGTAGTTTGATACTAAGTGAGGAAGAAACTGGACATCACAAATCTATAGCTGAAAATGAGCTATTATAAAATTAAATCTAGTTTTTATGCTATCATTTAGTAATGCTAAGCCTAAGTCATTTATTAAACTTTCAATTTTATA